ACAAGCAATGAAAAGGATAGAATGAAAAATAACCCATGTAGAAATACAGAGATTTCAGAAGGAAGCTACCTAAGATGTATTTCCTGTTTGTCATTTCTGAACTCATCATCTTAAAAGAAAAGACTTCTAAGTCTTCTTCCAAATACCAAGGCTGGACACATAACATACACACGAATCTATGAAGCTGCAATTAAATCTTGCTTATTTTGACAATCATTAATTTTCTTTTAATCCTTTACTGACAGATGAAGGAAGGAAAATATTTTAATGCCTTTGGAATCATACATTAATTTTACATTCTGTACAGACCCAATTGCTGGGTTTTGTGATTATATTTCCTTCCAAAGACATAACCTTCTACTCTGGCAATTACCACCAGGATAAATGCACTGCAGATGCTCCATGGCACCACACTGGATCTGCCCACCACTGAGAAACCATCAACTTTCCTGCCACAAGACTCCTCTAATTCTGACTTTCTTCTCCTGTTAGGAAACACCTCCCAGAAAAAAAATCTCCTGAACTCACACATTAAATTCTGGAAACTTACTTATTTTTGCCATGCGGCAATTATTTACTGTATATACAGCTGGCTTCAAACTGAGATGTCTTCTAAAAATTTTTATTTTGGTTTGCACAGGTCTTATATAGCCATTAAAAAGGAAGTCATATGAGCTGGCTCTTACTTGTGTAGTGATAAAAAGAAACAAAAATAAAAATTCACAAGAACTATACAAGACAAACTGTATTATACAACTTGTAGAAAAAGCTTATTCTCCATACTATTAACAATAGACTGTTATCTGAAGACTTAAAATATCAGCAGTAAAGTGAAACTAGGGAGCTAAAGAAAACCTTCACAAACTTTCCTATTTCCAAACATTTTATCTGAATTTATCAAAACCTCTAACTTCAAACACATAATTTCAGAGGTTTATGCTGACCAGACAGTAACGAAGGGAGTTAATCAAATATAAACCTTCTGCAACTGTCTTGTCAAACCAGGTAATGATGTCCTGCCAGCCAAACTCAGAGGGAACATGTGAAACAAATACAAAAGTAAACAGGCCTTAAGCTGCCCAAGGGAAAGTCAGCAAGATGGCAATTTCAATCATTTGGAATAATACTAAAGCAGCCTTAGGCTTTTCTCAGAATGGAAACATGTCACTGTTACTGCAATATTTCAACAAATCAGACTGCAAAAGAAAGGAACACTTATGTAATCGCAGCCGTGGAACAGTGCCTTACTCAAGGGTGAGGTGGAAAATAATTAAGAGGAAATTCCCTTTTTGTGAGTAATTGTAATTGTACCTAAATGACAAAGACAAACAATGTTTCCTTAGCAATTTTGAGGAGTGAAAAAGTCAAACTGAGGCACAGATTCCTTTAGTTTTGATAGAGGCGGCTTTGGAACGATGACGATAAAGTTCTATCAAATAAAACTATGAACACAAGATATGTTCCTATGATATTTACCAAATGTTAGTAGAAGTTACACTCGGAGCTACAAACAAAGCAACAAGTACTTCAAGAACAATTCTGCTGAAAAGTTTCATTAAGATGAATGGGCTGTCATATCATTTAACTGAGAAATCAAAAAATATTTCAAATATTTAGGGAACTTACCTAATCAGTAAACTTTCAGTATGTGTCTAGTCATGTAGCCATCTTTTAGTCAATCATCAGAAAATCAAAGGCAAATTGGCATGACTCAACCCAAACTTTAATACCGCATGATTGTGTCGTGTAAGCTTGTTTTGTGCGAGGGCTGCTGTGGTTTTAGCAGAGAGATTAACGACCGGACCTAAGCTGGCCTCCAAACCTTGCCCTGCTGATGCCTCAAGCCCTTTGAAGTCTGACCATCATACCTGGCAAAACAACAGTGGGAACTAGGCTGGTGTCAGATCTAATCAAGTTTCCTGCCTCAGCATAGCTAACTATGGGGTACACTAATTGGCCCAATTGCGGATTATACCTTTTGCTACAGATTCAAGACAATAATTTAGTCAAATGATGGTTTTTATCTCCTTCTAATTAAGATTCCAAAGTGGGAAGAAATAGGATTAGACAGGCTAACTTCAAAATTGTGTCCTTTAAAGTGGTATGCACATAAGATAGATCTCTGATAATATTGCATATAATAATGTATTGCTAGTAACTAAAGTGTGAAGATTTGGGAAAGCTTGATATAGCTACTGCACCTCTTACCCTAAACACGTAAGTTTTCCTGGAAAGGGTCTACCTCATAATTTACAAATGAAAAATGAACTCTCATAAATATTCATTGAAAAACATTTTTATGCTGAATTTTAAAAAAACCTGTTCAGAATACATTTCAGTCAGTCTTATTTTGATGAAGAAGATACAAGAAAAACTGAAACAGTTAAATGATTCTGTAGACTAGTCCCTCCCACAAAACTGCAATCTAATAAAATGGATTTGACATTTAAGGTTTTTTACTGATGAGGGTCAATCCATAAAGAGTTATTTAACTGGTGAGCAATCCAGAGATGAGAAAATCTATGTCCCATGCCCTTTAAATGGTAAAAAAAAGAATGGTCTAAAGATGAAATAGTTTTTTGGAGAAATTTTGCCATAAATCACAGGTTGTGTATTTCTCACTTTTCTTATGTAATTTGATTTTAAAGGGTCATTTCAAGTAGAGGTGAATATTTTTACCCTAAATTGTGTATATAACTAAGCATATGCTTTCCAAAAACTTGCACATAGTCAAAATATATTTTAATTAAGCTGCATACTAAAGAAGTCCTAAACTTTGCTGTACTTTGCATAAGGCACAGTTGTTTGTAATGCACAGAACCAAAGCTGACTGCTGACTCATCACATTCTAACTGCAGAAACCCATTTTAGAAGATTGTATTCACATCCATTCTTAATTCAATTTTCCCTTGCTCCCATTTTCTTATTGACCTCATTGCTCTCGTCAGCCTGGCTGCAGTCTGCCTCCCCTAATAGTATGAGGAAGAAAAACATACATATTATAGATTAGTGAAATGTGTACAGGAAGATCACAGTAAGACAGTGATCTGACATGTTCAAAGAGGGCTAGTTTGTGTCAGTTCAGCTTACAGAAAGCATATCTCTAACAAAACCTGAAGTTATTCAGAAGGGGCTGCAGCTGAGCAATGAAGGGGGAAATCATACAAGTGGGTCATCTATGCATGTCCAGGGCAACAGGTTGTTTCAAGAGTTCCACTGCACCTCTGCGTCCAATGCTTCTCCTCCACAGCTAACTCAACTTTTTGCAGAGCCTTCTGCTAAGGGTTTTTTCTGTGTGTGTGTGTTTGTTTGTTTTTTTTTTTTTTTCTCCAAATTACATTACAAATTAGAATCCCAAACACAACTAAGAGAAAAAAATTATATTCTGAGTCAGGATTCACAGTGAGGAACCCCCCCCCAGTTATTCTAATTCACAGATATAATAAATGAGAATTTACTATGCTGTGAAATGAGGGTGCACGCTTTTCTGTGCTTCTGAAAACAGTAAGAACATTTGTATTTTAAAACCAAACACAGACTATTAAGTTTTTTGTTTCTAATGTACTGCCCACAAGCAGTTGTTAAAATGGTTTAATACCTCACAATGCCTGGTTTCACTAACCACATTCCCTGGAAAGTGGGAAAGTTATAAAGGAATGTCTCTGGGACAAAAGGCCTCCTTTACGTATTTGCCTTTAAGTGGCTTCTGAAGAGGATACCTCTAGTTGAGAAACTTCTAGCACTCATGCAGAGATGACCTGCATGAAGAACTGGCTGCCTGATTAACTATTAACTACTCTCAATAGGATTAGATAATTAAAGACATTGATGACCATTAATTAGGAGGAGGGCACCTTAATTTGTCACTTGATAGGGCCCTTTCAATGATTTATAGGTTAGGGCTACTTGCAATTGTGAAAGGGAGGGGGCAGTGAAGAGAGAGAACCCTTAAGTTACCTTATCAAGTGGCCAGCTAAAAAGGGCAGAGGGTCAAATAAGGGCCAAAGTGGTCACTTAAGGGTGAAGTCCCAAACACCAAAGCTGTGCCAAGCCACATTGACCATCATTTGGTGATGGAGTAAAAAATATGCTAATTTATTGGTGGCAATTCTCTCTTTTTATGGTTTCAAGCAGTTAAGACAAGTGGCCTGCTTAAGAGCTTTTCATTTGAAAAGAGATTAAACAAAATGGTTTGTCAGGGATGCCTGGCTATTTTATGTCTTTGTTAAAAAAAAAATTCACCCAGACTGTACCAATGACTATCACATCACCCTGAAAGCCATCTTCCATCTCTAAGCACTACTTGGTTAATAAATACATCGGCTCTAATTGCTTAATAGTGCTATGTTCATTTGCTCTTTAGCAAGATTAAAATGAAATACATCTTTTGTATTACTGCCTTCTATCAAGACTGTCTGCATAAAGGTCACAGAAAAAAGTTTAAATTTAGTAGGAAATTTACTTAAGGACATTAGTGTAAATGATACTGTGTTTAAAATGACATAAAAGAGCGAAAGGTGATTTCAGTAATGCAAAGAAAATGGTTTCTGAATACTGATAAGGACACTTATCCCTCATACCACACACAATTTTAGGCAGCATTATACATTAAAATCCCTCTACTGGGGTAATAACATGTAGCTACTTTCCCACCCACTAACACAAGTAAGAGCAAGTCATTAACATTTAATTAAACATGCTCCTGACATCCTTAGAAACATGTCACGCTTTGTTATTGAAGGTTGTGGCCTACTTTCTATGTACATTTTAAACCAAAATAAACTATTTATAACAGACCGATTTAGTGCAGCAAAGGAGACATTTTTAATTAGAATGCATATCACAATATTTTATAAACCAGTTCTGAACAGCAAAACCAGAATGAAATGAATTTACAACATCTGATGCATATTGTATGTATGTCACAAAACGAAACATAAGAGATGGGATTAGCTCCACCTTTTGGGTTCTAAATAGTGAAACAAAACTGTTTTTCTTACCTCAATGGTGAACAGCTTCCTTTTTAATCTAAAAGCCAGGTCCTTCGTGTCTGACACATCACAGATCAAGCTATTAAGCCGAGGAATCTGATGTACATGAACCAAACCTTGTGGAAAGAAAGAGCAAAGAAGGGAGAAAAAAAATTAAGAAAACGCTGTCATCTAGATGCATAAATTAGTCTTACTGCAGAATTCTGTATATTTACACACAGTCATCCTCCCCTTTTTAAACTGGAGCTTACTACCAGGAGCAATGAAGCAAACGGTGCGATTATACTCAAGTAATCAAGCAGAATAAGATAAACAGAAATCCTTGTGCGAGGAAAACTAATTGCACTTTGGTACAGAAGTACAGATGTAAAGAGGGATCTTAATACTTGTCAAAACTACAGCTGGTTTGTGTGTGATTTTCTCTTGTATTTACAGTAAGCAAATATGGCTATCACCTTGCATGCTGCCCACGGCACCACCGAGTGATCTTTATTTTATTAAATGCACCAGTAAGCAGCTAGCAAAACAAGGCTTATGGGTTACTGATAACCACTGAAGCTCTAATGAGAAGTACTTTGTTTTGCACCCTGAAAATGACTTCTAGAAAGTTTCTGGAAAATACTGATTTAGATCATGTTTTCCAATAAATTTTAACCCCTGTGTGATCCTAGGAGAAAGACCTTTTTTTTGCATGCAGGAGGCTTATATAGCTGCTTAGATGTTTTTAACAGTACTAGATGCACTGCAAGCTCTGCATTCTGTCAGCTGCAACTCAAGCTGATTTTTTCTGACAAGGACGCTGGATGGTTTTTGTGCAGCCTAATATAGTTTCTGAACAACCTAAGGGTGATTTTCTACATCTGAAAACCAGGAAAATTCTACAGGGCTTCTCAATTACTGGCCTATATTTGCTATTCATAAAGCCAGCGTCTAAATGGAAATACTGAACATTTAGAAAAAGCATCTGATGTGAAAACAGCAGCTGTAAGAAAAACCCCAAACACTATAAATCTAATTTAAAAATAAGGCAGGGGCTTCTTCATGGTTTTATCTATTTTTTTTTAAAGGAAGAAAGTTTCTTAAAATTGAAATACTTTTAAAAGCATAATTCTCATTGGGACTAATTACAAATTTTCAATAATATTAGAAAAATATTTTGACACTTTGAAACCTTCTATCCCTTCCTCCAATCTGGTGACATATAAGAATTATTTGTTTAGCTTTTGACGTAAAAATAGAATTGTTATATATAGGAACAGCAGGTATAACACAGGACTGCTTACATACAGTATTCTAAAAATTTTATGTAAGGATCATCTATACCATTCTTTTGTTATCGATTTTTCCAACCACATAAATCTGCAGGCAGCTTAATAAAATTATTAATTCAGGATTTATTAAATAATGCAATAATGTAATAAAATTTCCCCTCAGTACTGCCAAGATCTTCCAATAGCTGCAGTAAATAAATAATCTTAAAAATATTCTTCATAAAACAAAATAATGAAGTTAAAACTGCTAAAAGTATCTATTTTTAGAATGTTAAATTAAGGTTTATAAACCTCAAAAGCTATGTATATTGGCATATAATTTTTATCAAGTAGTACCCAAAATGATTTAGCATACATTTTTATAGAAAACCAGGAAATAACTGCTAAAACACACATTGTCTTAAAGGATCTCCTAAGTACTGAGAAAAGGAGTATCAAAGTGACAGAATTATGTTAGCATAAACAAATGCCCCATCATGATTATACAGTTGGAAAAATAATTAGGCAAATTATTCCAGCTTTTGTTCACGGTTTCTTTTTCATTCACCTTTTTTCAGATAATGAAATGTGCACTATTTTCATAACCAAAAAGATTTTTCTCTGATTTAGTAATTACAGCCTGCATACACACAGTGGTTTCTATATGTTCTGCTTGGAAAAATACTGCCACATTCTTACATGTTTACAGCAGGTTTTGGATAAGCAGTTTACTTTCAGCTAAAGGTTTCCATGGAACTACAGTAGTATCACAATAATACTAGCTGTAATTTATGCACACCCGGAGCACTGCTCTGGATTAGCTAAAACTGTTTGTTATTCACTGCTTTGGCTATGCATAACTTCTAATCTAATCTTTTAAAATTTAAATAGTTCTGCTGCAGTGGTGAACAAAATATTTGGGAAACAGAATGCAAGATTAAACACCATTACACATTTTGAAGATAAATCACTTGAAAGGCTACATGAGTTTTTACCCAAATTAGTTTCATATTTTACACATATCCACATACATTTCTTTAAATGTGTTGTGCTGTAACTTACAGCTGAAAAACAGAACATTATTTTTAGATAAAATTTATATAGCACATCATTTAGCAGTTTATTCTTGTTAATATAATATATGTTTTCCATGTTCTCTATTTAAAACTTGGCAGATCAAAAGTATTGATTTCATGACAAGTTCAGCTCGCTGGTCAGATGATTGCCAAGCCTCCTCTGCATGTGAATTCCCCAAAGCCTGCCTGTTGAGATGTACGTCTGACTGAGCCGTGCCTCAGTAATATGGCTTGACAACATGCAAGGAGTTGCCATGTTTCCTTTGCAGCCTTAATGCACTTTACTGAAAATTTTCCTAACTCAAGAAGGGTTAGCAAGGAGAAACATTTAGGAGGTATATTCCAAAATGAAATCAAATGCTACTTTATAGCAGATGCCCTATTGGAGGGTAAGCCGCTAAGTGCCCTAGAAACACTCAGGGCAGACTTTGTGCATTGCTAAAGTTGGAACTTACCCTGGTAATCCTTGTATAATGGATTGGTTTCTCTCTCAGAGCCAATAAATGATTCAAGACCAACTACCATATCTGACAAGTTTGTTACACGTTCCATAATTGCTTTATTCTGTAAGACATGGAAACAAAATACACATCCTATGTGATGAAAAAGGTAATTAACGTTCATAGAGTACGCCTTGGTCTTCTCAATGACAAACTGGAGGAAAAATAGGTCATCGATACTTAGAAATAACCTTAGTGGGCTTTTTTTCTTTAAAAAAAAAAAGACTTGAAATTTCTGTCTGAAGAAAACAAACACTTGACAAGAAGAAACAATAAAAGGCCTAACTGAGGACTAAATTCTTACTAAATCTTCGTAACATAAGCATTTGCTCACATCAGAGACATCTACAAGCTATGTAGCCGTTAAGCACCTCTCATTGACTTCTCCTATGAGCCAGATGCCCAGCTTTTGTTTGTTTTCTAAAAATCTTGGGGTTTAATACACTTTGGCATATCACCTCTAATATTTTGAGCAAGCACAATGCACAAGATTATTCGTTTTGGTCATCAGTCAAACAACATGGAAACTCTTTGTCCAGTATTTTTCTTTCCAGAAGTTCCTCTCTACACAACATCTGAATCTAAAGCTTCAAGCTGCATTACCAGTTCTCAATATATTTGTGATTTGTAAGTGATGCCTTAAGTCTTATGCAACAATGCACTGCCACATGCCTTAAATAAGCTGTTTCCCGCATAGTTTTCTTTACTTAATTTTATATAGCAGAAACCAACAAAGGTCACAACAGAGATCTTCAGATGTAACTCAGGATAAAATGTTCTTAAATGATTTGATGATGGCAGTATTTAATGAGAAAAAAAAAAAAAAGACGACAAATGTGTGCTAAAAAGCAAAATATTTCTTTAAGATGAGTAGTTATCTTAAAAGTGCTTGGACAGCTGCTTGATGGCTGTAGGTGCTATACCTATAATATCTTCAGGGGTATGAAGACCAGTTACTTCAAAATAACTATTCCAAGTATGAATAATTTGCTCTGCAGCTCCAAGTTACAGTTTTGCAGTTTTTAATAATTTTAAAGCATTTTGTACATTCTGCACTTCTCATAAACTCTATGACTGACACTTATTATGAAAGGTCAACTTAATCACTTGTAAACTAGTTTATAATAAAAATTTATAAAGTTATTTGGAGCAGAGAGAAGGGAAGCATCCCTAGATATGTTAGAAAAGTCTACGCATTGTACTGACCTACACGTTTACTATAATGGTGATCAATAAACCAATTGGTCTCATGAACCCACATTCCAGTAACAGTGTTGTTTCCTAGCCACAGAGAAAGAAGCCTACAAAGCTGACATGAAAGGTGAACATTTTTTACTCCCATCAAAGAATAATCTGAATTTGTTTTTTTGACTGCTGGATAAAGTAAGGTGGGGTCTGTCCTGCACAGCCAAATCTGCTCAGGATACAGGGTCTAAATCCACCAATCCCATGGTACCTTTATACCCCCTCCCTTGCCCACCTTATGAGCCAGATGGCATTAAATCCTGGGGACTGGTCTCTTTTCAAAGCCTCTACTTGTGCACAGGCCAAAATTATCCATCCCCATGGAATCAGGGAACTTCTATTTTACTCACAAAGTTCAATGATGGATAATGATCAAACAGTGCTTTACTACAGACTTCCCCTTCTGAGCAATAACATAGGTGATCTGAGGTAAAAGAACACCACCTACATATCAATCCCTAAACTTCATTATTATATTCACCCCCGAAATATTAAAGCCGACTTGCAAATTATATCCTCTTCTAAGAAGACAGAGACAGGTTATTGTATTTTAATTGAAACTTTGTTCACATTATTCTACAGGGGCACGCATGTAAGGAACATAAACCTGAAGCAGGCAGTGACCTCTGTAAGCACACAGACCAGAAATTACTGTATTTTGCCAGTTTTCAGAAGGCTGCTGGAAGTTATTTGTATAAGCAAGAAATACAAAATTGTTAAGTAAATAAATGAGCACTGAGTATTTCTGGAAGCTAACCTATTGGTATAGAAAAAATATTCTATCATTTGAATATCATTTGCTGACCATCGTTTTTGCTTGCTGGTTTTGATAACAATGGGTTACAGAAACTGTGGATGGAAAAACGCTTCATCATTGGCAAGGTATCCTCACCATGAACAGTCCTGCAAATCACAAGAGTAACATCTTCTCTATTTTGTCGTAGTTCTCAAAAGATTAAAGTGAGGGACAGCAATTAAATATTTGCCTAATGATACATACTTCAATATATTTGCTTCAGCTCTTCTGAACAGGTTTCCTTTCTTAAATTGTAGTCTGTTTGCCCACATTGATATTGGTTTTGTTTTTAAGATGTGTCAAAATATTCTCCTGGCTTAATGCAGTGTATCTTGGGAAGTATTTTGCACAGTGACTCTCCATACCAAACAGACATTTGCTTATGTGGCATTGTTGCCACAGATCTGTATCTATCATGTATTTTCTAGTTTGCAGTGTTCAGCACATTAATGTCCAATCAAAGCTGACGTCAGCACACAGATAGTTGTGATGTATGGCATACTGACATAAACACACAAATCATGTTGCCCCATCTGGGCCTGAAAATTTAACAGAGCTCCAGATCTTCCTCCAGCCCCACACAAATCTACCTCCTGCTTCTGGCACAAACTTGGCAGCTCTGGAGGTGAGCCAGGACATGGTTAGGAGGGAAGCCAGGAATGGGGAGATTGAGAGAAAGAGTTTGTTGGCAGCTAGAAGAGGTATTGTTTTAAATTACGCTAAAAAATAAAAAAAAAAAACCACCAAACCCAACCCAGTTCTGGAAAGTTTTCAGTCTTGCTAGATGTACTGCAGTTTTTCTAAATTAGTTAGTTCAGCCAAAATATAATTATTCTAACAACATGGTAGCAACCCTGTTGTGCAGGCTGGGCTGGGCATCCATTCTATATCTTACTTTGTGCTCATTGTTTTAGACAGACATTTTATTTTAAGTGCAAACTTGCAATATTTGGGCTCAACCAAAGTGTACTTTCAAAACAGTGTCTCAAGAAAATCCACGTAGCTAGTCAGATATGTAAATGGGAACTATACGGATGTGTTTAATCAGCTTTTTGGAAGAGCAATTATGGAAAAAGAATGCTTTGTCCTAGTGATTTATTTGCAGAATCTACATAGCTTTGAGTAATTATTTGTACGTGTTTAAAAATACTTATTTACAAATAAAGCAGTTCAAAATGTGTCATTTTCTGTGTCTGAGTATAAAGCACAGTATTCTACCAGCACAAATATATGAATAGCCTGTATGCTCAAACTTACAGACTGAAATTAATACTGTGTTTCTACTGGATTGAGTTCTTAATGTACCACAACTTTATCATTACTACTATTAATCAAATCAATCTTGGTTCATCTGGATTCCATATTAGGAAAAAAATCTGTCTTTTCTACTCTGCTCTTATTTCTAGTTCTTCCCTGATTTCCTGTCAAAATTTTTCTAACACCCAAAAATATGTCCTCCCATTTTTGTTTTGTCAGTTTCTAAAGAAATTAAAAACCTCACAAAATGTACATAAGAAAAATAATTAAATTCTCACTCCTTGTGCTGCATTAGGTAAAGAAAAGTCAAAGAATGGAAAATTTTCTTAGAATGGCTTCAACATTTCTACACGGTACATAGAAACAATCTCAAATTTTTGAAGGAAAACAAAATACTCATACTGAAGATCTACAGTGATACTAGCACCTGTATAAATACATTAAGCTCCTGAATCACATGGGTTTTGTGTATTTGCATTTGTATTCTGATTAATTCATTAATATAATTTTAATACTGATTTATATATTGAATTGAAAGGACACTATTTTAAGACTATGTTTCTTTTCAAGGAGGCATTAGGCCTATATTTTGGTGGATGGCTGTACTTGACTTCTGTATCTTTACCTTCTGGTAATCTAATCCCATCACTGATTTTAATTTCAAACTTTTAGTTAAGAGTTAATACATTGAATCCTAAAAAGGTTTTCATCACCTATGAAACTACTTAAAAACAACTGCTAGCACTGGGATGAAGCCCTGTTTAGATGGTGTGTTGCATGCATTCCATATGACAGCACAGACTTTAAAGGGGAATTCAGATACTGCCACTAAGTCCAGGTAGAACTGTTGTAGGCAACAATTTCTGTTGTTACCCACAGGTGAGTCCAGTAATCCTGACACTTCATTTGAAAAAGGTTCTCAACAATAAACAGCAAGAAAGCGAGTTCATATGTATGTAAAACGTTCATAGTAATACGAACCCTATGAACTTAAAGTAAATTTTAGTGCATGAATTTTCAAAACGGCACAAAAATTAGTTGTGCCTTTTTTTGTTTCTGTTACATTCTGTAATAAAGCTGAAGTAAGATTAGTACTATAGTGTGGGCAGCCACATTGGACTACAATGAAACACTGCTGGATGTTTGATAGATGGAATAAGTTTGATAGATCATCACACAATGATGAGGTAATTACTTCACAAAATACAAATATTTACCACTTGTCATTACTACTTAATCTCCAAAGTATTTTAAAGTGAAAAGATAAATTATTAAGAAACATCCCTTAAATATTTATTAGCATTTGTTAATAATTACTGCTCAGAAAATCACAGAATTACCCATACATTTTAGTTTGGTAAAGAAAGTTAGGTGTCAGGCCCTTGTGCTAGTTTTACAGAGATACAGTTTGTGCACCTTTTCATTACTCACAAACCCTGAAAATAAAAGATTAATAACTGCTCTGCCAAAAAGTATTAGATCAGTCATTAAGAAAAACTGTAAAGTATCAAATTCTGTACTTATTCTGACTCCAAGTTGATGAGTGCTGTTGTTCTTAGTGCTTGCACATGTCAAATCTACTAACGGAACTTTGACTCTTGGTTCCAAATGAATGTACACTCAGCTCACTGGAATATTAGAGGAGCTACAGTACATTAACAAATTTTGGGATGTAAAAGCCTGTATCATTATCACAAGAAAACTGAATACAAGTGGTATGTCTTTGCTGGAAGACAGATATCCTAGAAATATACTTCAAGGATTTT